TAGCTGTTCGGTCGCGGTGCCGAAGCTGGTTAATCATGAGTTTGGTTTTGGTGGGGTGCAATTCCAATCCGTGCTGTTTGGCTGTGGTGATGCGGTCGGAAGCATTGCACTTAGATTGGGCAGTGCTTGGCTTGTCAGCTAGATAACCGCAGGTTCGTGAGTGTCGCCGCATCGGTGTGTCAATTGGATGCCTTGGTGCTTCCTCTGCCAAACTGAAATCAGCGGTGCTAAGACGTGTTGGAGCAGCGCATTGGACAGCCATGGGCTCAGTTGATCACCCTGTTTTGTGCCGCGTTGGCGGTCGAACATATTACTGGTGGTGTCGGTGCGGACCACGGCTGGTTGGTCTTTGATTTGTCCAACAAGCAATTGGCGTATTGTTGGCTTGTAGGTTGAGCCAGTTGTGAGAAATAGCGATGGCGGAGACGAGGCGGATGATGATAACGATGACGAAAAGAATGTGATGATGATACTGATGATGATAGTGATGCAGAGCACACGCGTTCACTGCCCCTTGCAGTTTCTCTCTTCGCAGCGGAAATCTATGCGGCCGATCGTGGAACAATGGGGGGAATACGAAGTGAATGCTAGCGAAGAGAAAAACAGCGGTGATGATAACCGCAGTAATGGTAAATTATCACACATGTTGGTTTCTCTCTTGAGCCCCTGTGGCTCCGCAGTCGAGCCAGGGTGTATGCCGCAGAGAGCAGCGGGATCGATCAATATTCGCACGTGCCGGCTTCTCTCCTGAGCCTCTGTGGCTCTGTATGCGCACCGGAGAATATACCACAGAGCGCAAGGGGATGAGCTGGTATCTCGGGCCCCCGACCGCCAGAATTGCTGTCAACGAGACGCCCGAAAACGCCTCGCTCGTGGCGACGAGGGCATGCGAGGTAAATGGTAGCGAGGAAAATGGCAACGGTAATGGTGTTGGTAACAACGATGGAAAATCACACGTGGTGCCTTCTCTCCTGAGACTCAGTGGCCCTATACTCACACCGTCGAAAATGCTACAGAGCACCACAGGATGAGCATCTTGATTTTCAGCTCGCATCTCGGGCCTTCCGAGGGACAGGGAACAGGGGGAGGGGAGAGAGGGAGAGGGGGGAGAGGATGCAAAACCACGAATGATGCAAGGGTACAAATATCCTCTGGGACCCTGCTTTGTAGGGAGCACAAGTGCAAGGATGCAGAGTTGTCTCTGTTGTGTCTGCTATCCTCGTTTGGTCTCCTCCTCGCCCCCCTCCCTGCCCCGAGCCCCGTACCGTCCCCTCCCCTTAAAGGTACAGGCCCTGAGGGTAACTCCACCCTGGGCGGGGCGGTTACCGCTTTCGCCATCAAGGAAGAGTGCCCAAAGTTGTCGTCGTCCGTACCTTTACCTGCGGGCCTTCTCTCCTCCATCCGCCCTCCTCCCTCCTTTCTTCCCCTCCTCCCTCCTCCCTCCTCCCTCCTGCTCCGTCTCTCTCCCCCACTTTCCTGTCTCCTTACACCCTCCCTCTCTCTCTCTCTCTTTTTTCTCTCTCTCTCTCTCTCTTTTCTCTCTCTCTCTCTCTGCCTTTTTTTCTCTCTCTCTTTCTCTCTTGCTCTCTCTCTCTCTCTCTCGTCTTCCCTCCTCCCTCACTCCTCCCTTCCCCCTTTTTCTTCATCGCTTTTTTGCCACTACAAATAAATAAATTCAGAGGGAGGGGGCCAAAATACCCCCCAAATTATGTTGGCCCCCCCTGTTCTTGGGAGTGCTGGAACCAGCGCCGCGATAGAGACATCCCCACAATGGGGGCGCGAACGGGCCCGTGCTAACACCCCGGCGGCTAGTCCCCAATGGGAGTGCTTCAAGCAGCGCCTCGCTAGAGACATCCTCATGCAGTGGAGGCCAGTCCACAAGAAACCCAACCCTGAGACCCCAGGACGTCCATGGATTTTCGGCGTGGGAACGTCGGGCTCCCCATCGCAAAACCATCGAAATCCAAGAAACCCAAGGCACCCTGGAGGCAAGCAGGGTGTTTCTTGGCATGGGCCCCCACTGTAGCCCGCTCTGAAAGCAGAATGGTCGAAGCCACCGGACAAGCAAACCGCCTGAGACATCCCCACAATCTGGGCGCGAAGGGGCCCGTGTCAACACCCTGGCCGGTCCCTCTTGGGAGTGCTGAAAACAGCGCCTCGCTAGAGACATCCTCACAGTCTGCTCTGAAAGCAAGAGGGTCCAAGCAACCAGTCAGGCAAGCCGCCTGAGACTCCCCACAATCTGAACGCGAACGGGCCCGTGAAAACCACCTGGCATCTCCCGCTTGAGAATGCTGAAACCCGCGCCTCGCTCGAGACATCCTCACAATCAGCTCGGAAATGAATACGAGTGAGTCTAAGTGCGCATGAGTCTGAGTTCGAGTGAGTATGAGCACGAGCGAGTCCTAGTGCGAGTGAGTCTGAACGTGAGGAATTAGAATTTGAGTGAGTCGAGTCTGAGTGAATTGATGTTTGTTATCCCCAGTGATGAAAACCGTCAGCTTCCCAAGATGGGGACGGGGTCTCCACCGTGCAAGAACTGGCCAGAATAAGGAGAAGAGGGTGAGGAAGCAGGAACAGAGGGAAAGACGAAAGAGGAAGTGAGAAGGAACTGCGTCCGCATGTCCAGCGATCAAGCTCAGGGCGGGTGACCGAACACTGATCACCGCAGAACTGCATCGGAATATTATGCCGACGGCGTGACTGACGCGCACGGTATGGCCCGAGAAAGAGCTGCGACGCTCATAACTTTCATGGATTTGAACAGGTGGTGGCCGAATGGAACTACGGCCCAAAAGCGTCGACGGCCCGTGCTGGACCGCGGACTGCCCCAACGAAAATCCCAATCGCCTGCGATCGCAACAGCGCTGTCTCTCGCCACACATTTTTCGTAGGGGCGCCTCGACACCCTACCCAGAAGGCGCGGCAGAGCAGGAGGCAGTACCACAGGCAAGAAGAGGAGGAGGAGGTTGAGAAACAGACTGGCGGGACCTCGCGCCTGAAGTGGTCAAGAGCTTGTCGAGTTAAGCAGCGGCGGCCCATTGTGCGCGGGCTCCCCTCGAGGAGCTGGAGGACACATGCGTCCGCAACTGCCATCGCCAAGACCCCTTGGCAACGGGGGCGCCAGCGATCAGCGTGAATCCCGAAGCAGCTGTACTTCATTCTACAGAGGGAGTCCGTCAGGGGCCCAATCCTTGACGAACATGCCCCTTTTCGGGGGCCGATGCTTGGCCAGCTCGGTGGTTGCGCCTCTTCTTTCTCTTCTTTGTATAAGCTGCGTCTGTACTATGATCCGCCTGGGACTGTTCCTCGTTGAAACGCGCCGCACAGTCAGAGTCACCTGAATATGTCAACATACGACCGTCTGAGACACCTTGACTGGCGGCACCTATGGTATCATCGAGGGCAGCAGGCTCCACGTTGAGGCTTCTGACCCCGACCTCATCCCAGAAGGATTCGAGGTCGTCGTTGCCAAACGCTTGAAGAGCAAGGTCCCCAGCATTCACAACAAAGGTCGTCAGCATCGATTGTGCTCAAACTAATCGTAATACTAGGCCTCAGCATCATCTTGGATGGATCATCACCTGTCAGCTGGCACCCAACATCTGCAGATACCTTGGCGTCCAACAGCGGAAAAATGTAACCGTCCTTCCATGGCCCTGGATTCCTTCTGCGGCCACTTGCCCTGGACAACCTTGTAAGGATATCCATCCTCTTCGTCGAGGTAGTTAGGTGACATCCATCCTCGTCGCCGAGGTAGTTAGGTGGCGACAACCAAACCCTACCCCTACCAACCATCGATTTCCCTGGATCGATGGGAGGCGGGGGTAGGGTTCGTGCTCGAGGAATTCCGACCCCGACCCCCGCCGCCCATCGAGTTGCCTGAATCGTCGATCGGCGAGGGTAGGGTTCGGATAGCGCCGCCAAAACAATCCTAGAGACGGTGGCCAGTGGCACAGCTGGAGATGAGCAAGCGCCCCTGACGCCCCCCCTGCCAGGACGTTGATGCCGTGATCTCTTTGAAGACGCCATGACGCTCGGAAATACAATAAGAACAGACAGACTGGAAACTGGATGTGAGGTTAAGACGAGGCGGAGAAATACAGTTTGGGAGAACGTAGTCGGAGGTGTGGCTGCACTTTGAGCCAAGAGTCTGAGTGAGTCGAGTCTGAGTCGGAGTCAGAGTCTGAGTCTGAGCGTGAGTGAGTATGAATCTGAGTGCGAGTGAGTCTGAGTATGAGTGACTCTGAATGTGATTGAGGAGGACTTTGGGGAGAGGGAGGTGTGGGAGGTGTGGGCCAGCGGAGTCTAAGTAATGAAACAAACCCCCATTCTAGGAGATGGGGGAAAATGAAACGGGGAGGGAAAAAAGGATAAGAAAGCGCAGATTGGCACCTGAGCGTTACGATCCGAGCAGATTTAGCTCAGGAGGAAGGAGAGGAAGGAAGAAGGAAGGAGTGCGAGGCGTATAAATTAGAGCACGAGTCCCATCTCAGGATGTGGGCAATGAGATGATGGGGATATGAAATCTGGGGATACATCGTGGCCCTGGCCATGGCATCCCCCTCCCTAGTCCTCACCCCTCGTTCCGGCGCCTGGTGGTTTTCAGGTGATCGCGCCACTGGCGGCCGTTTGGGACGATTCAGGCACCCCTGGAAAGCTGTACAAGGTGCAGCTGCTGGAAGACACATGGAAGCGAGAGGACATCCAAGAAACAACGAAAGAGTGGGAAAAACCCGCTTTAACCCCGGAAAAAAACCTCTCGGACGCCCCCCGCTGGTCATCCCCGCCCCCTCGCGCGGCCCTCGCGTGGATTTGACGGCTGTCGCATGAGAGGGCAGCTAGAGCGACCCGCGCCTCAACCACGACCCCAACTAGGAAAACAAACGCACCACGTCCGAATTCTCACTCGCAGAATCTTCCACTGACTGTAGTCGCCACCCCTCCCACTTGGCCGCCCCCGACCGGCGCGCCCCTGGCGGGCGCCCCCCTCCCCGGTCCTGGGATGGGAGGAACACTGGAGCGTCGGCCTCCGCGGGGAGCGGGCGCGGCTCCCGGGGCACCGCCTTTTTTTGTATTCGAACGTGGGCCAGAGTACCCCCCCCTGCCCTTTTTCCATTCTCCTCCTCCATTCCTTTTCCTTGAAACGAACTTCTCCCTGTCGCACCCCAAGGTAGTTTTTAGGGCGGGCCGGGCGTGTCGCCTGAGACTTCTTCACCATTAATTACCCTGAAGCTTAAATTGACGACATCTTCACAGATGGAGGGCGGGTGATTTTCAAAATGTGGCTCTCGCCTTAACGCCGCGCACATTCCAAAAACAAATTCGAAAGAGCTTCACGGATTGAGGGCGGGTGGTTTTCAAAATGTGGCTATCGCCTTAGCGCCGCTAAACATTTGCACGAGCTTCATGAATTGAGGGCGGGTCGTTTTCAAATGTGGCTCTCGCCTCAGCGCCGCGCACATTCGGATTTAAAAAGGTGCAAGGATTTTACGGATTGAGGACGGTTCCTTTTCAAAATATTTCTCTCGCCTCAGCGCCGCGTACATTCGCTCATTAAAAGAGGTGCAAGTGTTTCACGGATTGAGGGCGGCTCCTTTTTTAAATGTGGCTCTCGCCTTAGCGTCGCGCACGTTCGTTTTTGAATTTGAAAGGGTTTCACGGACTCCCATGATCAACAAACCAGGCATGATTCAGGATTACGAGGGTGCAGTGGTTACGCTGATTCGCGGTGTTAAAGTCCCAGGAATCGTGTTCTGGCACGATTCAAGATCGTCTAGATGCAACAGTCAGGTTGATCCGTGGCGTTGCAATCCCGAGAACAATGTCATGGCATGCTCCAGGGTCTTCGAACGGTTGTCTTCCAGCGGGGCACTTCCCTCAGTGGACATGAACCGTTGAATGGGCCTATGAAGAGGGATTCTGGAGGGAAGGTTTATTCCAACATCGTTGATGACTCTTGGGTTTCCACTGGTCCTCCTCTTCCTTCTCCTCCTCCTCCTCCTCGTTTGTGCCAATGCCTCGTCGTTCTCGACGTTCGAAGCTTCCTCGGACGCCGCCGTAGATAGTTCGGGTGAAGGTGGAGCGGCGCCCATCACCTCTGGAACTAGCATCCCCCAGCCAGCGTGTGTCTCAATTTCAGCCTCCACGGCCCGTCACCGGGACTCGGGACCATCAGGAACGGGTCTGGACCTCCAAGAAGCGGTCGGGACCTTCGGGGCCGCACCTTGAACAGAAGAACATCGCCGGCTGTCTGGGCACAGGGGGTGGCACCAGGGGTGAAGCCTCCTGAGAAGGCGGGGCTTCTGAGAGGGCAGGGGCCTCTCTCGGAGGGGCCCGGGAGAGCACTGAAGTGGGCTCCTTGCAAGCCGGGAGTGCTGCCTAGACGCCACCTGCTTTCTAAGAAGCTCCCCGCCCACGCCTTCTCTTGCAGGCCGCCCCCCTGGCGCCACCCCACTGCGCGCGCCGCCCAAGGACGAAGACCGACGCGAGGGGGGGCACAAAAGTGCAAAGCAGAAGACTTCAGAGGCCCGCGAGGATGTCTTGGGTCGGCGCCAGAGGCGCCGCCAGGAGAGATCCAGCGCCGACCCAAGAAATCGGTGCGGTCCTCCGCAAGTCCATGTTCTTCGAGGGGTAGCACACACGTGAGGACGAGAGGTGCAGACGACGTGCAGGGTCTATACAACATTGTAAATACCGAGGCCCTTGCAGAAAGAGCGCAAGACATAGTGGCGATCTTCTCATGAGACCGCGTCGCCTTGCTCAGAGACCCCCTTCCACCTCCGCCACCTCCTACTCACCGTTGCCCTACTCACCCCCTTCTACCTCCTCCTCCTCCTCCTCCTCCTCCTCCTTCTCCTCCTCCTCCTCCTCCTCCTCCTCCTCATAATCGATTGTCGCCCACCTCCTGCTTCTCTACCTGCCTCCTCGCCCTCGCCTTCCTCACCATCCTCCTCCTCCTCCTCCTCCTCCTCCTCCTCCTCCTCCTCCTCCTCCTCCTCGCTCGTCGACCACGTACAAGGCCAGTCAGGAGGACCAGACAGGCCAGGCTGGGCCCCATACGGCGGCTCTGTACATCGGCGGCGCCGAGCCGGCAGGGCCCACAGGGATCGCGGCAGCCGCCTGGTGCAGCGTGCGGGTGAGTGCAGCCGGCTGAGCACCACCGCCCGGAGGCGGCCCCCGTGCCTTTGCATAGCGTGTCGCGGCGGCGGCGGCAGCGACACGCTGTGCCCTGCAGGCGGGCAGCGTATCGCTCCGCTCCGCGGGCCTGGAGGCTCGGAAAGGCTCGGGACGTCGACGCCTGGGGACTGGGAAGCGGAAGAGCGCGTCACTCCGGAGCGTGGTGGGGCAGGACCGGCCGAGCGACACGCCATCCAAAAGTCTCCGATGGCATGTTTTCACAACGTGGGCCGCAGGAGCTCTGGAGTCTTCCCTGGGGCCCGTCGTGCATCCCCGGTGCCTTCTGGCGGCCCCGGGGCCCGGCGAGGGCGCCCGGAGGCCGCAGGTGGGCAGAAGCGCACCGTCGGATCTTGCCCACGAGGCGGGGAGGCGGGGGACTGGCGGGCTGCAGTCGCGCCGTCCCTCCGCCCGAGGCTGGTGCCGCGTCGAGGCCCTGGCACCAACGCGCTGCTCAATGCTGGGCCGCATGCCGGTGTGAGCTGCCAGCAAAGCTAACACGGCGCCGGCTCGTACCCCTGCGGCGTAGAGCTCACGGAGGGGAGGACGGAGATGGTGGACGTGGAGGAGGGGAAGGAGAGGGGGAAAGGAAAGGACGAGGGGGAGGAGGACGGTGAGGAGGGAGGAGGGAGGAACAGGGGGGGAGTACGAGGAGACCAGCGAGCACACGAAGCGACGCGCCTAGTCAGGATGACTGGCGGATGAGAGAGGGAGGAGACGGGACGAGAACAAGGAGAAGGAGGAGGAGGAGGCGGAGGAGGAGGAAGAAAAGGAGGAAGAGGAGGAGGAGGAGGAGGAGGAGGAGGAGGAGGAGGAGGATGGGGGCGGGAAGGAGAAGGAGGAGGATGAGGAGGAGGAGAGGAGGAGGAGGAGGAGGAGGAGGACTAGGAGGAGGTCGAGCGTGCCCAGACGGGTTTATCGATCAGCCAATGCGCCGAGCTTCACTTTTGGGCCCAGAACTGTATAGGAGGGCTCAGGAAAGGCAACCGAATAGCAGCTCGAATAAACAATGCTCGCACGCGGGCACTAGCGAACTGCGCGGCGAGACGACGCGCGTAGAAATAGGCTGCAACCAACTGGAAGTATACGGGTCTTCTGCGAAAGAGACAAGGCCGAGGCGACGCGACGCGTCACCTGGCACATCTCGGGATCGCACGCATCCCACAAGGGCCTCCAGACGCCTGCACCCGAGGAGGCAATGCGACACGGAGCCAACACAATAGAATATGCATCCACAGGCCGTCCTTCGCATGCACCTGGAAGTCGCCCAACCTCCGAGCCACATCTTCAGACGCGCCGAAGATCAGGCGAGAGGTAACGCACGCAACGATGTCCTCGCCGCCCCCCGACCCACCGGCCCAACGCCCCTCGGAAAAAACAGCTAGGTGATTTAGCGACCAAAGAGAGGAGCAAGGGCCGAATTGAGGAGACGAGCCTGGAAGGTGAGAGAGAATTGCGCCTGCCAGCGCGGTCATCCACGACCTGGCCGGGTCTGTCGCAGGAGCGCGAGACACCCCTGCCAAGCCTCCACGAACCTCAGATATTGGGGGAAGCCTGCGGCCGCCTGCGAGAGCGAGAAGACAATGGCGGGAGAGGACCAGAAAGGCGGAGCGAGCGAGGGCCGATGGAGCTACATAATCGCACCAAGCTCTCTGAAGGTGAACTGCAATTGGGCAAAATGAAACGTCCTGGACGCGACAGAAAAGAGGGCCTGACATTGGGCGACGAGTCGCTCGCAGCTCGCACGCGCACTGCTAGCTTCGCCCATGGAGCCTTTTCACTGGTCGGCGAGAGTAACAGACGGGCCAATCAGCGTTCCGGGATACTCAAGAGATGGCACGACCTGGAACATTTACCCAGGACGGAACAGCGAGCGCGACAATTGAAGAGGGGCCACCTTGCATTCGTACGTTTTGATGGCGAGAAAGGCAAACTTCGAGGCGAGGGGTAAGATGCGATCTAGTCGGCTCAACACCGTGGCGGCGAGCGACACCGACCCCGCATCATGTGCACAAGCTCGAGAGAAACCGCGCCTAGGAGCTTCTGCAGTGCGTTCCGTATCGCTCAGAGAAAGGTTCGACGCGATCACAAAAAGCGAGCCACTGAGGGGCATCCCGGAAGGACACCCTGCGAGGACAACAAACAAAAGGACACGCACCCCATCCTTCATGGAACCAGCGCAAGTTAAGATGGCGAAGCAGCAGGGCCGCCACGATGAGCACAGCGGGCCGTAAGAGGGAGTCATGGGCGAGGAGAAGCCAACGCTGGGAGACGCCAGGGGCAGCTCGGGCAAAGTCAAACGAGAAAAGCAGAGGCAACCACTCGTGGCCAGGAGCGCCTTGTGAGAGGGTGGGGGGGGGGGCCTTCATCGCGGCGCCGATCTGAGGGCAAGCATCGAGCTGGCGTGCGCTTTTCAACAAAATCTTCCCCCTGATAAATCTGCTCTGCGTTCTAAGGCTGGCGGATTGACCGTGTGAGACGGTCGTCGATGGCTGCTGGCACTCGCTTGTCGAAGGCACTATTCAACGCGAGCGTCCTAGTCTCCTCGGCAGAGAGGGTTGAGACGGCCTCCAGACCGCCCCCGAGCTCATCCCCTCTGGCTAAGAAGGCTACAAGGCACCCGAAGAACGGCAGAGGAAGCGAGCGCCCAGCAGCTGGCGCCCAGAAGGCTTCCCAGACCACCGCGGGGCCACCGCCGACTGCCCAGGCGCTGCGCGCAAGCCCACCTGGCACAGGGGCCTTCCCAGGAACGCGACGCAACATGTTCCGCGCCGCGCAGGCACTGGGCGGGGGCGCTCCTGTCTCTAAAAACTCGCCGAAAGGCGAAGCGCGAAACATGCAGCGGGGCCCCCGG